TGCTTGCATCTGCTGGATTTGCTGTGCCTGTGCATTCACAATCGCTTGATAATTATTGGCCACACCAGCATTAGCATTACTAAGAACATGAGCGGCAGAATGTGCTTGCGGATGATTCTGATTCTGATTCTGGGCCTGCACCGCCGCATGCTGTATCTTCGTCAATGCTCCAATGATCGCATGATAATTCACCCCAGGAGTCGGACTTGTCTGCTGCTGCTGCCCAATCGAATTAATGATCCCCTGATAATCAGTCCCCGGAACTCCCTGGAACGCAGCTTGGAACTGAGACATGTCCACACCAATCGATGTAACATCGAGGTTCGCGAGGCTGGAATTGAGTATATCCAAGGAGCCATTATCGAGTAACCCTCCACCAGAAAGACCGGACAGGAGAGTAGGGTTTGTCCCAAGGACACTGCCGATGGCTAAACGCCCCGCGTAACGGAGAGCAGCTCGACCTGCGACACGGCCTGCGGCTTTACCAAAATTGGCAAGCATGTTGCCAGTATTTGATAAAGTAGCGGAGGTTGAGCCCAAAGAAAAGGAGGCGGAGTGTGGTCGAGGTGGTCGGGGGTTATGAGTTATAGGAACCATCGGGAGAGTGTAGGATGGGTGCTGGGGAGGACGTTGAGGCGGGCGCTGTGGAGGGCGTTGAGGTAAAGGAGGGGAAGACGGCTGTGGAACAGAGCCGGGGGAGTTTCCAGTCGGAGAAACTGTATTTGGGCTTGATATGAGCGCAGGGGGAGAAGGAAATTGAGCTGAACTTTGGGCGTTCGCGACAGGCGATGTGGAATACATCGGAGGACTTGCCGTAAATTGCGGCGCATGAGCTGGCAAAGTCGAAGTCGCAAAATGTGGTGGTGGTGGAGGCGATGAATGAGTCTGGGATGAGATAGAAGACTGTGGTCCATGTCCTAATAATACAGACGAGCTATGCATCGAAGCAGCACCAGCGCCAGAAGGGGGGACCTGCGGGAAAGTATTATTCACAGATACATGCGAATTGACTTGGGGTGGAGGGCTAGATAGATCTGCCATCGACCCTGTCTGAGGAGCATTGAGATTCCCATTTCCACTTTGATTTTGCGCATACACATTGGGGTTCTGTAACACAAAATGCTGGGGCATTGTTGACGACGTTGGGAGATTTGCTGTGGATGGAGGGGCATTCACTGTATTGCTACTACTATTGTTGTTGCTCAAGTTTCCACTTGTGCCTACAGCTAGAGGAGGACGAGCAGGTACAGAAGGCGCTACGGGTGCACCAGCAATCGAAGCCGGAGGTGACTGAATACCAGAAACACCTATCTGTCCCTGTATGGCAGTATTCGACGTCGCTGCAGTTTGTGATACAGGACTGCTAGCGACAGTAGAGTGTGAATTCATCGACGCTGTGGTTGGATGTGGATTCGAAAGCCCTATAGGACCTGTATTGATTGATTACTATCCACATATACCACGAATATTGAACGAACCTGAAGTCTGACTCGGGGGACGTGCTACCAGAGTGACACTCGGTACCGTCGTGGGCTTGGGTTTGAAAATAGACGCTGGTCTACTAGCACTACCAGAGGAATTGTGATGCTCGATCTTCTGCGATTGTGGTCGAACTACATTATTATGTAGTAATTGTTGCGACTGAGGACGCGAAGGAAGCTGCGGCCGTCCTCCAGCCACCGTAGACGCTGCAGACGATGATTGTGAATGCACTGTGCTCAATAACGAAACGCTCGATGCCGCGGCTGCGGCGGAATAGTTCATACTCCCCGCATGATACGACAACCTGCCACTTTGTGGGCGATGCTGCTGAATCGGTTGATTCTGGGATTGCAGATTCTGCAGCACACCAGTCTTATAGAACGAGTTTGCGATAGCTGCATTGGGTCTATGATTCGAAGTATTAGTTTTTTTATAAGCTTCTGCGGAGACAGCAGCCAGGGAAACTGTGGGGGGCATGTGACTATGAGAATCCATGAGGAGATGCATGTTCGGGGATGATGTAGAGATGCGACCACCGGATGGTCCTCCGATCGCATTTGTCGTTGATGGACGTGAAGAAAAGGCGCTCGCGTACAGCCTTTGCGCTAGAGTCAGTCCTTCGTGGCCAGCGGCGGCGGGCGAGGAGGTGGGGGCGTTGGGAGTAGACACAGGCACATTGTGAGGAAGAGGAGGTGCGGTGGCGGTAGTCACTGCGGCTGAAGCAGGCTGAGGAGTAGGAGGATGGGGAGGGAGAGAAGGGGAAGACACGCCGACGGGTGCCTGCGATGGGCGATCCACCAAATTCATTCCCGGGACATGAGTGTGAGGGTTCTGTCCAGTGTGGATAAAAGAAGGAGAGGCATTATTGACTATCTGTGCCTGTAATGGATGACTAACCAGATTCATATCCGTAGAGTTCGGACGAGGTGTGGGCAGGGAGTTGACATTTACTGTATTGGTTGTAATGCTCGTATGAGGGTTAGAAGCAAAGGGTTGTGTAATTTCTGGCGACACCGGTGAAAATGACGGTGGTCCAACCGTATGAGTTACAGGCCGACTGGGAGAGGAAGCAGAAGGAGGCGGTGGCGGAGGAGCAGGAGCAGAAGCAGGAGGGGGAGGGGGAGAACTCAGAAAAGAAGGATTATGGTATTCCGGAGGCGACACCACGTTAGCTGTGGTAGTTCCCCCTGGTGAGCTACTACTATCAGATCCAGGCTCAGGAGCGACGACAACAGGTGTATTATGCTGGCCTGACGATTCAGAATAAATTGAATACTGTGGAGGCGATGATGGATCCACAGACGATGTCGAATCAGGCGGCAAGTGACTTAATGGCTGGAGTCCCGAATTCGAGGTAGGAGCCGGAGCTGTCGAGGGCCCAGAGGAGGCAGATGCAACTGGTTCTTCATTATTATTGAACAGTATGGGATCTTTTCGATCAAGTTTCCAATTAGATTTCTCAATGTGCCCTGGCAACTTTGACGGCGACGATATACCTTGCTGCACATTGGAATTTGAAGAACTCGGGCCTGGCTCATCTACCACAAGCCGATTAGTTTCCGCGTAATATTCAGTCGAAGGATGAAAGTATGAAATCCGAGCAGGGACAACGTTAGTTTGCACATAATACCTAGATGAAAAACGGTTATGTAGAGCCCGTGGGACGTGTTCCACCAAATACGAACCAAGTATCTTTTCTGAGGACAAAAATCGTTTTTTAAGCACACAGATCAAGTTGATCCAACGTAATAAAAAAAGGCAACTTACTGTGCATTGTATCCTTCCGTCCATCCAGGCGGCAAAACTCTACGATCCGGATTAACGGGAGGGGCGCTCTGCATTAAGGTCACAGTTGGTGGTCAGAGGAGATTGAAGGCACTCAGGTCCAGAATTTGGAATTTATAGACCTCTCATATAGGTGTTACAGTTATCCATAGCCGACGTTGTGATGTACATTAGACCCAAAAAGGCGCGGAAGGATCTGTCAAGAGAGATAAGTAGACATAAATCACATGATGGACGTTTGTGACAAGAGACATTTCAGCGCCAGCATCGCGTTGAAGCTTATTTACAAGGCATACAGCAATATTAACCGGAAAGTACACGGAATCAATGTACAAGATATTATAGGACTAAAGTTGGAAGTATGTCGCGGAAAGCACAGTTAGTACAGTTTCAGAACCTTTCAATCGGAGTCACCAGGTGTAATGTAGCTTATTATTAACGATCTACAGGTACAACGCGAAAAAAAATGATTCAGTGATACGGGCAGGATACGAGTGCCAAGATTCTTGGAGGCAATTTCCGACTATGTACTTACTCTCCAATTACTTACAGGCAAGTCAGCATTGAACGAGGGCACAAATGCACAATTATCATTTACGTTGGGCGCAGGAGCGATGGGTCGCTAGTTGAATGGTACGTTTGTAGACGTTGGGCCTCGTTGGGCAGGGTTGAGCATAAAACGCAGGTTTATGCTTACAGAATTGAATGGTTTTGGCTTGGTCCTGAATCTTTACATGCAAGTGCTTGGGATCATAGTAAATCGTAATCGTCCAGCTGTGGAAAAAGGATTCAGAATCAAGGGAACAGCAGATGAAAACGTGGATTTTGAGTAATAACAGGGGTGTCCAATTGTTTTATCGACATGTGGAAGGGGTTAAAGGACAAGGAAAGCGAGTAAACAAGGTATTCACGAACCTCATCATTGTATGTCATGATTGCTCTCTTTAACTTGGATGTGTCGACCCAGGTAACGAAGTCTTCCATGCGTCTGTAGGAAGAAGAAAACATAAACCCACAAGCTAAACCCCTACACAAAAAACCCACCTGGTCACGAGATACGCTGGATCCGTAATCGCATCAGGTCCAACCCTTACATGCCCTTGCTCAATAAATTTGGTCGCCGCGCTGACCGTCTCAGCCATTTTCAACCCCGCACACATAACCACCGCCAGCCTTCTTCTGCAAAATGCCGACACGGTAAGCTTGTTCTGTACATCAGATAGTTTTGCAGAAGAGTTGAGGACACCCATGTCGTATAATTTTGAGAGGATCTGGTTTTCGGTTTTTGATCGGAAGGGGTCTTGAGGTGGGAGAAGGGAGACGCGGTGGGCAAGTGAGCGGAGGTGGCCTATGAGGGTATTGCACCTGTGTTGAGAAGAGTGAGTTATACTGAAGAATATGAAAAGAAGAACAAAAAGAAGAACACACGCACTTGTGATAATCCTCTCTGTTCTGAATATGATATCTTCTCATCACTTTCACTTCACGTAAATTGGCATCTTGTTTCCACTGACTGAATCAAATGGTGAATTGGGGAGGGAGGAACAAAACAACGTACGTTTAGGAAGTCAACTTTTTTGAGGAGCTTTTGTTCGTGATATTTGAGTTTTCTGACCATGTTGTAATGTAGAAAAGAAAACAGTAGCGTTCAAGTTGTTGCAGTAAATGTAGATTATGTAAGTAAATGAGGAATAAGAGGTCCTTATTGATTAATATGAAAAAGTAAAATATATGGCCGCCTGGCGAAATGGCATCGCGTCTGACTACGATTATGTTCATATCAGGAGATTGCAGGTTCGACCCCTGCGGTGGTCATAAAGTTTTTTTTGTTATGTACCGTCGTCATTTTTCTTCTGTTGAAGTGTTCCCTGCTAATCAGCCCCTCCGTTTTTCCATTATTTTTAACACACAGTGAGTGAATCCAGCGATTTGCAGTACAAGTTACAAATTTGGGTATGAGATGCCCAAGCTTCGGGGCTTGCTATCGTCATGATCTTTCACAATAAGTGCATCCTTCATCCCTCCACAACAAAATCTCCAGCTCGAGCGATTACCCTCCTCGCAATCGCAGCAAGGAGAATTATACTTGCTATGGAAGTGAGGAACCAGCATATTCCCAGGAAATACACTATGATCACTGAAGGGAGCAGTGAGTAAGCACTATGCTCTACCCACTGCGGGGATGAAACCCTAATGTTGTAGTGAATATGAAGAGATTAGGTACAAAACTCTCCAAAAATTCTCTACCAGAGTTTGCTGAGACTTTTCAAAAATTTCTCCATGAAACAATCATGAATATGGCAGGAAATGCCATTATTTTGAATATTCCTATATTAATTTCAGCCTAATACTTAGCAGATTGTTCCAAAATTAAAATTGTATGGAGCGGCGTATATAAGGACGATACTTCCGTAAACTACAGCCTCGTAATATATGTGAAAAGATGAAGGTGATGATTGAGAAGATGGTTGGGGGCTCCTTATAATTCCAGGAATCTGCACCTAGAGGCCGAGTTAACAGCTCTGGATGTATATTCCGTCATTCCAGACTGTTTGATCTTGGGTTCAAAGTCTCCACTATGGTCAAGGGAACTCACCCGGAATGAATGTTATGTTAGGCTGTGGTTCATAGCCCATGGGTCAGCAGTCAGCAGATGTGAGAAGAAGTCATACAAGATCCAACCCTGAAGGGTACATACCTACAGTTTGTGTCCAGTATGTGACTCAGTGCACTTTGGACTGAGTGTACTTTCTTCAAGTCTTCCAAAGATCTTTTTTACGCACATCACGGTTTCATGATGGTTTCGAGAAGGAAATGGGCACCCACCAAGCGGCAAAGGTTCAATGAGATTCCACGTAGCACTGATCGTTTTACAATTCACAGGCGAAGTTTAAACTGAGCGTCTAAGCAGGGAACAAAACAGAACACCGATTTCATATCGTGAGTATCCCGGCGCGCTCTGTCTGAGGGCCTCAGACAGAGCGCGATCAGTACGGTTTCACCAGACTTCAGCGAAGCACATTAGCAGCGGTCGAGTGCCCTTGAAGCCGTTGACATCTGACATCTCCCTCTCGTTTCCCTCTGACAGCGTCGACTTCAACATTGAATATACATACTTCTCCTAGAGATAGTAACTAGACACACCGTGTGGGGTATTGAGCACTGAGGCGCGCTTATATGTGGAATCGACTTTGCAGCGCTGTATTACACGGATTGTGGGGCCGTCCATCCCCTTAAACCCATCGTTTTTAAACTGGATCAGGACCGTCGACAAGGAAGATAAATCCACGCTGAAACGTCCGCGTGCAACCGATAATCCCCTTGTGTAAGTGTCGGAAAATGATTCCCTCTTGGCTTGATCTTCGAGACCTGCGCCTTGCATAGACAGTTGTTGTCTTTAGTTCTACACAATCAAACTCTGCAATTATCAAGATTAAATACGAGTATATCCTCAGCCCCAGTTGCTACAAGCTCGTCCATTATTTGAGCGACTTTCTTCTTCTCGACCATACTACTGACAGCCACCCAGCCGTCCGCTTCCAATGGGCTGATAGTCGGTGCCCTGCGCCCGGGAGTGATTGCGATAGCTGAAGGAAGTCGGTCCCGAGCAACGTTATATTGACATATGGCATATTTGCTGGCAGCGACAACACCCTTGATTCGATTGGTGATGAGGTTGATAAGGCTAGAGTGTGCTTCGTGTTTCGGGATTCGGGATTTGATGAGAACAGCTTCTGTTTCTAATACGGTAGCGATCGCGTGAAGACCAGCTGCACGCATGGTGTCTCCGGACTCTGAATACATGAATTCAGAAAGCAGATAAAGGACTACGACGTCACTAGTCGCTCACCGACCAAGTCAACTGCGAAAGCAATGGTTAGACTTCGATTACTGAAAATAGAGTACTAAGAAACTCACCAATGCCATCAGCAAGCCCTAACGCACATGCAGCTTCGACACTACCGCCAACATAATCGATCTTCGTACGTTTCTCGCCTGAGAGTTGAAAAATGTCGTCCAGTTTACCAAAATACTCCCCTGAGAGCACCTCAAAACTTGTAACAACCCGTTTACCGACAAGATCTTCAACGGTCTTTATTGACCCAGCTTCTGGAACTTGGACTTGCAGGGCACACTTGCCAAACCCTAGCCGGAGCTCTTCGGTAACGTGCTCGTGCATTTGCGATTCGAGAATTACATCATGTCCTGTGATACCGAGGTCGACATTGCCCTTGCCGACGAAACTTGGGATGTCGGATGCAGGAAGGAAGACACTGATATATGTGATAATCAGTAGTTGTTCAGAAAAAAAGTGTATTTGGGAGCTGTACAGCGCGATTGGGTGATTAAGAACAAGACAGACGTCTAATCGAGCGTGTCGTCGAAACTGGATATCCGCACCTAACAGTACATGATTGGGTTTTGGAGACAGGAAACTAAAGATAGAGAGATCACCAGCAAGAATCGACAAGCATTTTTCATACAGTCTCCCTTGTTAAAATTGTTCGTTAATTCAATTGGGACTACTTTCCAAGGCGATTCGAGGTACCTTTTTTGGGGATTGCAAACAGTAAACGTCCGTCAAGGGAATCCGCGTCTAATTAAAGAGATGGGTAAATATATGGAGTCAATTGCTGTGTCCATACTCATTTGTGGAATTTGGGTGTACGGGGAAGAAGTTGTGAAATTATTAGGTAATGCACATGGAAACAAGAATTTGAAATTTCTCGCGGAGTCACAAAGCAAGTCTTGAGGCGCGCGAAGCTTTGGGGGGAGGATGATCGTTGAGAAGACGCGAGATTCAACGCACAAGAAACCAAAAAGTGTATATGCAGTAAGTATTCGAGTCACAGAGAAGAGCAGTGTGAAAGTGACAAGCGAGATGGATGATTTAGATAGACAAGACAAACAGTTAAACAGAAGATTCCAGACTGAAGTAGACAAGATATAAACAACACACACACGCACAATGCATATAAGTTGGTAGTAAGACGGTTTGAAAACAGACAGAAGAAAAGGCGGACGAACGGCGGACGAAGTGTACAAACAAGCAGCGGAGAAGAGTGTGGAATAAGTAAAGAAATACAGCGATTAGGAGAGAAGCTTAATAGAGAAGGAAAACGAGTAGAAACACGAGGAACATACACATCATCCATAAAATATAACCCCTCTCCGCATTCATGTTCGTCATGCCCCTGTCCCAGACGTAGACGCTCTCCCCCTCTTCCTTGTTGTCCTTTTCGCAGGAGGAGGTTGCGATCCAGGATCCACACCTCCAACTCCACCTCCTGGCCCAGTTCCCGCGGCACTCGAACCACCTGTATTACTCCCCCCACCACCTGCACCAGAAACGCTGGAGCCCCCTGCAGTACTATCCGACGAAGCTTGTTTCCGCTTCAAGGAAGCAGGCGCCATGGAGGGTGTGGTGTGTGTTGAGCTGGGGTTGGAGCGGTTTGTTGTGGAAGTAGAAGCAGTGGCGTTGGGGTTGGCAGTGTTAGTAAGATTAGGTGTTGCTGCAGATGATGATAATAATAATGACGGATTAGGGTTGGTGGAGGACGAGGAAGAAGACGAGGAGGCTATCACATTCGATGTTAATAATGATGTTGTTGATGGCCCACCACCTGCCGACGACGACGACGACGAGACATTCGCGGGTGAGGTTCCACCGCCGACACCTTGCTGCGACTGCGGTATACTTTTATGTGGCTTCCTCGGTGAGTTTAGTGCCGACATCCCTGACGGAGATGAATTTTGGCTGTTTTGGGCCCCGCGGTTTTGCGGTGAGGAACCAGAGTTGTTGTTGATGTTGGATGTAGACGGGGTTGGGTGATTAGATGATAACGACGACGAGCTGGGGTTTGCTAAATTGGAGGGGTTGGTGACAGAGGGGGGAGCGCTAGAGTACAGAGTAGTCAAGCTCATCGAGGGACTACCTACTCCGTTAACAGAGGACATCGTGTTGGGCCCTGGACCGGTGGAGAAGAATAAACCTGAGCCTGAGCCTGGACCTAGACCTGGAAAGCCATACGTACCTGAGGAGGACGATGGGGATGGGTGGTTGTTATTAAGATTGTTTGGATTGCCAGGGTTGTTGAGATTGAAATTCAGCCCGGGTCCGCTAACACCATTGATCAACAGCTGTTGAGGCAAAGGCATCGACTCTCGTATTTTTCCTGCCATTTTCGACAGAGCATCTGTATTGTAAGAAGAGAGAAAAAACACCATCCAGAACATTAGCTCAATTCCAAAAAGCCAACAGATGTCAACACACAAGGGAGGAAACAAAGATACTTACCCAGCGGTCCTAGCCCCTCCTCCTTCGAGAACACGATCAAATCACTCATCTGTGCGACGCTTTCCGCAAGCTCAAGACACCGCATCGTAGCCTGCGGAATCCCGAACGCGTTCACAGGTTCACCAGGTATGAAGCCTTGTGATATGAGCACTCGGGGCTCGTCCCATTGAGATTGCCCAGAAGATGCCGAAGGATGAGCTGACGAGGATAAATGCGCAGAAGAGGGGGCGGAAGTTGAAGAGGGAGGATACAGATGAGAAGAAACAGGATAGGGATGCGCAGAAGACGGATAGGGAGGTTTCGAATCGGCTTCAGACTCGTTCAAATCCCCATTCATCATAGCCGGAGATGATGAGGATGCTGTCGTCGACCCTGTTATCCCATTTATAGCTGGAGAAGAATTCGTTGACATAGTCGCCGAGGATGCGGCGGAACTCGACGGACCGGAAAGACCGGTAACGCCTACAGCAGCAGCAGGCGCTCCATTTCTCACTTGTGCGTTACGTAACCTCGGCGT